TCTCAAATGACCAAAAGCAAAATAAATAAACAAACAAACAAACAAAAATATATTGTGCACTTAAAATCTATTAGGAGAATAGAATCAGTGGTCAGTGCTTACCAATGTGAAAATAAAAATAATGAAAAAAGCAAAAAGTGGCTGAATGTATAGAGTAGGTTTATATATTGCATATGCAATGGGAAAGTAGCAGAACTATTTGGGAGCACAATTCAGCAGGATAGATATATTAAAATGTAGAAAGTCCAAGGAGGAGCAGGCATTCCCCGGGAACCTCTCATGCCATGCTGGCCAGGAAAGCAGGTAGGATAACTGCAGATCTTCACCTGTCTCTCAGTTCCACCAAGTGCATACTCCTAGTCTCACCCTCATTTTTATAGCAGAGCATCTGCTGTGGCCTCCCGTTCCTCTCTGTTCCCATCTCCAGTGGATGATGCAGATCTCCTCCAACCATCCTTGTGGTAGAATATTATTTTAAGGTGTGTTACTTTTGTTTATGCTGTGGAACATTAATTTAATGATGTAAACCTGGGTGACTTTTGTTTATGCTATATTGGTTTAACTCAGTGAAGGTGTGTTACTTTGCCTGCCTAAAACACTTGATGGTCCTAATAAAGAGCTCAACAGCCAATAGTGATGCAGGAGCAAGGATAGGTGGGGCTGGCAGGCAAAGGGAATAAATAGAGAAATGAGGAAAGGAGAGCAACCAGAGAACAACAAAAAAAGGGGGTGGGTGGGTGTCAGAGGCCAGCCATCCAGCCGACCAAGGAGTAAGAAGAAAAGTAAGAATACAGAAGAGAAAGGTAAAAGCCCAGAGGGAAAATGTAGACGGGATGATTTAAGTTAAAAAAAAAAAAAAGCTTTTTAGAAACAAGCCAAGCTAAGGCCGGGCACCTACAACTAAGAATAAGCCTCCATGTGTGAGTTACTTGGGAGCTGGGTGGTGGGCCCTTTAAAAGAGCCGAAAAAGTCCCAGCATTGGTGGCACACTCGGGAGGCAGAGGCAGGCGGATCTCTGTGAGTCCGAGGCCAGCCTGGTCTCCAGAGCAAGTGCCAGGATAGGCTCCAAAGCTACACAGAGAAACCCTGTCTCGAAAAACCAAAAAAAAAAAAAAAAAAAAAGGAGCCGAAAAAGAGTTAAGAGTGAAAAACAACCAGTAACACATCCTCTTCACTCATCCTATTATCTGAGCCCCCAGTTGCAGCAAGCATTCTCTGGGAACCCACCAGTCGAGCCTGCCAGAGAAGCAAGTAGGCCAGCTAAGGAGAAAGGTGAGTTTCAGATCTTCACTCTCCCTCTTCTTCTCCAAATCCATCCCCCAGTCTCATCCCTAACTCTCTAGCACACTGCCTACTCTGTCCTCTCCTCATTCTCTACACCCATTCCCAGGGGACTAAGAAGACCCTGCTTTCCTTCCTCCTGTGAAAATCCTCAGCTCTCCCCTCCTAGCATATCCTCATTCTTTATTATTTTGGGGGGAGTTTCTAGACAGGCTTTCTCTGTAACAGCCCTGGCTGCACTAAAACTTGGTTTGTAGATTAGGGTAGCCTTGAACTCACAGAGAACCACCTTGCCTCTACCTCCAGTGCTGGGATTAAAGGCGTGTGCCACCAATGCCAGCTCCATCCCTATTGCTAAGTATCAGCACCCAATACCTAGAAACACATTTTACTAGGAACCCCCGCCCCATATCTATCAGGATCCCAGAAGAATTTCCTACCAGACAACACACAGCCACCACACTTGCCTAAGAACTAAGATCACAACAAAAACAAAGGAATAAAACACCCATCCAACAAAGACAGGACCAGATATCAGCGCCTAGAATTACAATTTTTCCAAACCCTAGTCATCTGCCTAGATACCATGATAAAAACAATGATCAGTAACAGCCAGGATATGTGCCCACTAGAGCCCATCTATCCTACCACAGCAGGCCATGAGTGCTGCAACATAGCTGAAGCAAAAGACAAAAAGACCTTAAAATAGTCTTTATTAATATAATAGAGATATTTGTGGTTGTTGGAATAAAAATGGTAGCAATAGGCCAATAGGGAGTGAATTATTAGGGGGTGTGGCCACCATGTGTGTCTTTGTAAATGTTAAACAGACAGAAAGAAATCAAGGAGCTGGGCGTTGGTGGCACACGCCTTTAATTCCAGCACTTGGGAGGTAGAGGCAGGCAGATCTCTGTGAGTTCGAGACCAGCCTGGTCTACAAGAGCTAGTTCCAGGACAGCCTCCAAAGCTACAGAGAAACCCTGTCTCAACCCACCCCCCAAAAAAACAGAAATCAAGGAAATGGGACCTTTCACACCACCCTCAATTATTATAAAATATCTTGTTGTAACTCTCACCAAGCAAGCATAAGACTTGTATGATAAAAACTTTAAGACACTGAAGAAAGAATTGAAAAGGGTATCAGAAGATGAAAAGATTTCCCATGTTCATGGATTGGTAGGATTCATTGGCAATCCTACCAAAAGCAATCTACATTCATCCATTTCTGGGGAGTGCAAACTTGTACAGAGACTACAGAAGCCAGTGTGTCAGTTCCTTCGGAAGATGGTTATGAGTCTACCTCAAAATTCAGCTCTACCACTTTAGGGCATATACCCAAAGGACACTTCATACTACACAGAGACTCCTGTTCTACCATGTTAATTGATGCTCTATTCATAATAGCCAGAAAATGGAAACAACCTAGATGTTGCTGTGGAATAATCCTTTTGTACACTGTGAAGATGTGTTGCTCTCATTGTTAATAAAGAACTGACTGGACAATAGCTAGGCAGGATTTTCAAGGCAGAGAGGATGCTGGGAAGAAGAAGGGCAGAGATGAGAAGTCACCAGCCAGATGCAGAGGAAGAAGAATGTAGAAAATGAGGTAACAAGACATGAGCCATGTGGTAGAATTTAGTTAACAAATATGGGTTAAGTTGTAAGAGCTAGTTAGTAACAATCTAATCTGTCCCGCGCGATCGTCTCGCCAGCAAAAACGACACAGGACACTCGGATCCTTCTGCAGTAAAGCTTTAATGCATCTTGAGAGAGAGATGATCAGCTTCCGATTAGGGAGACCCCGAGCCAAGAATCCTGTCCCCTTATAAAGGCTCATAAGCCCCGACCAGTGCGTGTACAGCTGGGATAGGTGGATGACTCATCACCCTATATGACGCCATGGAAGAGGTGAGGCTAGGCAAGTGGAAAAACTCTGGGCACATGCGCACCAATGTTGTTTACTTGATCCGGCAGCAGATGTCAGCGCCATCTTGTAATGGCGAATGTGAGTGCGGCTCCTCACACTAATCTATCAGCCAAGCATTTATAATTAATATTAAGTCTCTCTGTGGTTATTTGGGAGCTGGCCAACAGTCACAATGAAAAACTCCATCTACAAGCTGTCTGTCAACACACAGTAGAGTATTACTCAGCAGTTTTAAAAAAATGAAATCATGATTCCAGTCACTGTCAAGGTTTTCTGTCTGAAGGTGAAAAAAAAATGAAATCATGAAAGTCACAGGTAAATGGATGGAACTAGAAAAAAAAACAAAAACTTCCTGGGCGAGGTAAACCAGACTCAGAAAGAAAAACATGTTAAGTATTCACTTATATGTGAATATTAGCTAATCAATTAGATTATAACCAAGCTATAATTTTGGATCACAGAGATTATGTATAGAATAAGGTGTGTGTGTGTGTGTGTGTGAGAGAGAGAGAGAGAGAGAGAGAGAGAGAGAGAGAGAGAGCATTAGGAAAGGGAAATAGAATAGACAGTATGGATGGATAAAGGTGATCTAAATGAAATCCCCAAATAACAGGGGAGACAGAGTCACAAGTCGCCATCTTTCTGTCATCAAATGGAATTTCCAGTAGCAGGATTGGGTTCCATCTAGTCCAGATGTTGGCTAACAGTGTCCCATGGGAACACCTAAACAACCCAGGCTGTTGCCAAGACTCTAGGTTTCTCTCCACAAACTGACAGAAAGACCTCATTGCTGAAGATAGAAGGAACCTACACGGTTCAGTGAACATGGAGAAGTGTAGTTGGTGCCTACATGGACACTTCACCTCAATGTTCCAGCTTCTTTGGTACAGGAAGGTACTTTGCATGCTATCTAAAAAGAAACGCAAATACAAATGCAGCCACAATCCCTTTGATCTACAATGTCTGCAACAGATGCTAGTGAAATGGTGTCGCAAAGCTTGTGGGATTAGCTAGCCCGTATGTAATCTGACTTAAGGCCCACTCCACAGGATGAAACACATACATCACACTGCTTGGATGACCAAGAATTTGAGACTACATAGCTCGGAGACCTAGTGTAAGACCAAATACTTCTGTTCTAAAAACAAAAACAAAAATGGAGCAATAAAATGACTCCTAATGCTATTGTTCCATACTCAGAGATCACTGCCTTGCGCAGCCATCATCAGAGAAGCTTCCTCCTGCCATAGATGGGAATACCGAGACCCACAGCCAGATGTTATGCAGAAAGTGAGAGACCTTGGAACCCTCTGCCCTAAACAGGGTGTCTTCATCAAATGCTTTCCTTCAGGGCTCAGAAGAGGAGGCTGAAAATATAAGAGCCAGGCGGAGTGGAGGACTGTTAACTTTCACCAACCTGTGAAGATTTTGTCTGCTGGACCTGGGGTGTGAGAACCTGAAGGAATGGGGCAGACTACAGTCTAATGCTGTAGACAACCTTACTTCAGTTTCAGTGTACTTTTGTAAATGAATGAAACAAAGATCTAAGGAAGGTTGTTTTAGTTCAGAAAAACATGATCAGAGAAACATGATCAGAAAAACATGAAATTAAACATCAGCAAGTACATACTATTATTATTTACAGAGCAGCCCTTTCCCAGAACTTTCTCAGGACAGACACATTTAAACACAATTGCCTGGCATATGCTATAGATTCTATCTGGGGAAGCATGAAGGCAAGGCAGAAGGCCATGTCCAGATTGAGGATATACTGACCAGATTGGGTTCTAGAGCTTTGTTCTGACGTCCAATGAGAATAAACATGTCTCATGAATTGAATGCAAATGTTTGTCGCAGGCGTCACAAAATCACGTCCAAGAACAATCCAGGGAACAAAATGCACCTGAGGTAAAGGCCCTTTGCCTTTTTTCCTGGAGCCTCTATTACAGTTCCCCAAGGCATTGTACATCATGTGTCATTCATTTGACCATGTTCTGACAGAGGACAGCAGAAAAAAACTCAAAAAACAAAAACAAGGTCCTCTAAATCACAAGAGCTATGCACGTACGAACTCACAGAGACTGGGGAGGCCTGCTCAGGTCTGCACTAGATGTAGTCCTAGTGCTGAAAGGAATTATGGACACAGGCCCCATCCCAAACGTAGAAGCACTCTCTAAGTGATAACCGCTCGCAAATGAAAATGCAATTTCCTCCAAGGGAGTCTCACTGGAGAAACAAATCCTCTTAAGTGTAGGCTGCATGCCCAGAGTGCAACATCATCTTTGGAGGTTCCTTGTCTCATAATGTTGTGTTGGGACTTTTCATTTTTTATAATTAAAAAAGTACACTATAATTTTTGTCTTTCTTTTTATCTTATTCATATTTTTCTTTCTTTTTACCCTAGAGATCCTTTGCATATATATCATGGCTTCCAGTTTAGTGTTTTTATGGGACTCCTGAGTGTGTGAAGCAGTGAACCAGTGGGTCTGTTTCTTGTGCCTTCTTTTGGGCTGTTTCCCTTCTGTCTGTCTGTCTTGATCGATCTTGATGTGTTACTTTTTGTTTTATCTTATATTTTGTTTTATTATTATCCATTAAAATCTTGTTTGTTTTCTAATGAGAGACAGAATGGGATGGATCCAGATGGGAAGGAGCTAGGGAGGAACTGGGAGGAGCAGAGGGAGGGGAAAAGGTAATCAGGATACATTATATGAAAAAAAAACATTTTCAATAATATGAGAAAAACGTTTAAAAAGTATGAGTAATATTCACTAATTTTTTTCTTTTTTTCTCTCCCTCCCTTTTCTTCCCTCCCTCTCTTCCTCTCTCTCTCCCTCTCTCTCCCTCTCTCTCTCTCTCTCTCTAAGACAGGGTCTGACAGACAAGGCTGGCCTGGAAATCACAGAGATTCTCCTCCCTCTGCTTCCAGAGTGCTGGGATTAAAGGCACACATCACCATACCTGGCTCTACTAAATTTCTTGTTCACTCTGGGAAGGTATGAAAAAGTTACAACTTAAATTACCATAAATATAACTGCATATGGTGACTCACAACTATAATCCCAGCACTTGGGAGACAGAGGCAGTGGATCTCTGTGAATTTGAGGCCAGTTTGATCTGCGGAGTGAGTTCCAGGACAGCCAGGGCTACACAGAGAAACAATTTATTGAAAACAAAACAAAACCCTCCAAACTGTAATCTGAACCCTTAGGAAGTGGATGTTCAGAAATTCAAGGCCATCCTTGGCTACATAGTAAGTTCAAGGCCAGTCAGTGGGATATGAGAACCTATCTCAAAAAACAAAAGGAGAAACAGTCAAATAAGATAGGATATGCTACTTTAAAAATCTGTATTAGCTGGGCATGATTGAAGGTGCGCACCTTTAATCCCAGCACCCAGGAAGCAGACTCAGGTAGGTCTCTGTGAATTTGAGGCTACTCTGGTCTACAGAGTGTGTTCCAGGACAGCCAGGCCTGTTACACAGAGAAACCTTGTTTTGAAGAAAAACTGTAGGAAGCCGGTTCCTGCATTATAATGCTGCCTGAAGACACCAAGGTGTGAATTACTTCACAGGCGCTGGGTAATCTCCATTCCTTTGATCTCTGCCTATCCCGTGGCTCATTTTAGCCTGAGGAGCCAAAGCCATTCATAGGGTAATACGTCCCAGGCGGCTGGTCAGCCTTTTATATAGGGATGGTTTTCTTGGTTCAATGTCTCTGCTTAGTCTCTGCTCAGTCTCTGTTCAGTCTAATGCATTAAAGCTTGTCTGCAGAAGGATCCGAGTGTCCTGCGTGT